AATTGCTGATCTTTGGTCTGTAAGTCCGTTTTAGACTGCTGTATCATTGAATGCTGCTGTTCCACCTTGGCAGAAAGCTGCGCGGTGTACAGCGTTATTAGCGGCAGGCCCGACTTCAGGATTTAATTTGCTTATCATCTGGCTTACCTCTTTTCGCAGCCTCGCCATTCGGCGTTTGGCATCCGTATAAACGCGCTCTTCTAATGCTGCAGCGTGATCGTATGAGGACGTGCGCTCCAATTCCTCAACGCGATGCTCTAGTGTGTCTATCAGCTGCGTCTGCTGCGAGAGCACGCGCGCCACAAGACCAAACGACTCAGGTAGCACAGACTGAACATTCCGCCACTTGCGCTCATTCTGCAGAGTCATCGTAAGTGCATGAAGGCCCTCCTGTAGCGTCATACCACTGTTCAGATTTTCTCTTTTTGAGCGTGACGTTTCATGATCCGTTCTAAACCCAGATCTATTTAGTTTATCTTAATTTTAAAATAAAACTATTACTTTTCTAATACCGGAACAATTTTAATTGCTACTTATATTAATACTGTAAAAAATGTAGTACTTCAAGTATATGGCAATCTCTTGAGCGAATACTACGTTGTAGAACACTATTAATAATGCCGTGCTAAGCCCGGTGAAGCTCTGGATATTACGGTATTTTTAAAAAGTAATAACTAGTGCGGAATGAAGGACTTTTTAGAAGAAAAAAAAGAGAAGAATTGCAATTTAACTAAGACTTCCAGTCTAGAAGAAGAAATCAACAAACCGAGCGAGAATGATAGTCATTCATTTGAGTGGCTATCCCCGAGCTTCGAAAACTTGAAAACAAGTTGGTACCCTAACTTAAGAAAGTACTGTATTTTAAAGAAGACATGTAACAATTTTTCCACAGCACTATGGTTTCTTAATCTGTTCGATCCTCAATTGCATGAAGTCCAGCGCATCACGACATGGAGTAAAATACTCCAAAAACTCTTTCGTAAGGGGGGCCATGAGATAAAACTGCAATAACGTTTTCACTCGAGTGACGGCGACATAGAAAGATGAGCGCTGAGGAATCCTGCGAGTCGAATGACGAAGCGGAGCACGAATCATTTTCTCTTCTGTCAGTCCTTGGCACTTCTCAGTGGTCAATGAGTACACCAACACAAGAGAAACTTGGCAAATTGAGATAGAGATTGAGCGATCTGGCAGGTGAATTCGGACACCACATTCTGTCCTTTTGCATACAGGAACGACACCAAGTGGTAAAGTCGACACAAATGACTGAGAAGCGCCATCCCTTCCTTTGAAATACCCGACGTGGTAATTCGTTTTCTTCCTCTGATGTGTGTGATGTGTGTGATGTGTGCGTGTGTGTGTGCGTGTGTGTGAGTGTGTGTGTGTGAGAGGGAGGGGGGGCTTGCTTACGCGTTACGTCGTAAGGTTGATGTGTATGAGGATACAGTTTAGCCAAAATGAAGAAGCCGCGGTCGAACGTGCGTTGTCGTCCGACCTTGCTGTCTTGACGCGATACGGCCTCGATAGGAATCCTATTAGTATTCATCCATTCCCTTCTTTAAATCATGTAGCCTTCATGTACTGTACCACCCACCATCGGTGGTATCGTATATTGGAGCAACATCCACCTAAAACCAGATAGCGTGAATGTTGACCCAGGCGGCTTGGAACGACATTCACCAGTGCTTTTTTATGCTTTACCGTAGTTAATTAGGTATTCCGTCCTTTTAGCCTATCACTTGCAAGCCATTATACTTTTAATAATTACAAATGTAGGACCCTAATATTTTATAGAGGATCGTCGACGGTTTAAACTCTGGATATGAATATCCAGAGAATTGCTGAGATTGCCGTAAGGCAATGTTTTTTATAAGTAGTGCATTGCAGGTGTCAGGCAGGGAAAAGCTGAAATCTCACTGCGACGGGGACATCGCGTGGAATCTTAGCACTACATATACTAGATTTCGAGATGGAAACGGTATTCATAATATTGCTCGCTTTCTATCTGTACACAAGCTTCTAGCGTTCTTCGATACAATCCACCGCCAACAAACAATTCTCGTCCCACCGCTTCTTGTAGTACGCTGTGATTCGTCGCCCACTATCTCGCAAGGCATTCCATTCTTCTTGCTTGTCGGGCGCGAGTTCTGGGAACAAGTCGGTAGTCATGGCGTGGTCTCTCTCGGTATCGTGCAGCAACATCGCGTCAGTCACACGATCGTAGCGTAGACGCTGGTGACCCCGCACAATAGCCATTTTACGGTTTCGGGTCGTTGGTGAACACTGGGACGCTCTCCGTTTTTCGCCTTGCGCTTAAGCGAACGGCCGACACCATTTTGCACAAACCCCTCTCTCCGGTAGACCTGTAATGTCCGCCAGAGTGTTGAGGATATCGTACTGCTCAGCAGCGTCATCGATGATTGCACCGGCGTATTTACCGAGTCGGCCCTCAGCAATGATGGCGCCTGCCACTCGCGTCACGGATTCCTCATGCGTATTCATTATTTCAGCCTCTGGTGCTTGGCCGTGGTCTCCCATGATGACGACAATTGTGTCGTTCAGAATACCCCCCTTCTCCATACGATCCATGAACTTGCCCAGCTCCATGTCCGTGAAGTAGCGCATCTCCAGGTAATTTTTGATTTCGGCAGCGCGCTCGTGTCCTTCACACAGCGCAGAGAAGTCAGGTTTAGCTGCCTTCGCGTACCACGTTGGTCGTGCTTTGAATGGTCCATGGCTCGAGATGGTATAGTGCGTGAGAAATAGCGGCTTCTTCGGCTTCCCCTTGGCAACACGCTGTTTCTGCTTCTTTGTCTTTTGACGCAGCAAATCCCCGAGAAGTCTAAAACTCAAGTCGTCGTGCACTCCCCAGTTAAACGCCAAGTGCTCAGGGCCAAACCATTGGTGGCGTCTGATCTTGAGGTGTTTCTCTCCCAACGTTAGCATCGCTTTGGCTTCCCACACCTCCTGGTAGCCGTGGGAAGGTAGGAACACGTTCCATTTGTCAAGAGTAATCGAAGATCCCGTCGTGAAGAAGGTTTCGTATCCCTTGGCGTCGAACAGCTGAGGTAATCCAGCAAGCTTCGTGTCCTTCCTGCCCCCAGTGATGCCAGTTTTCGTTGCGCTATCGTATGGAACTTGGGCGAACAATAAACTCTCCAGCGAGCGACTTGTAGGGTTGCTGGACCAAATGTTGCGGAGAGCAACACCACGCTTCGCCCACCTGTCAAAGTTGGGCGTGATAGTTAAGTTCGTGCCTTTAAACAGGTTGGAAGGATCTTCCTCTCCAACGAGATAACGGGAATCTTGGAACCGGAAGGACTCAACGCCAATTACCAGCACGTTGGGCGGATTGTCGGTTGATACATCGACCTCAAAGGCGAGACTTCCTTGGAATCCAGTAGTACGACGGTACAGTGTGTCGTTGCCGAAGAGTTCATGCTGCTCCGTGGGGTGAATGTACATCTCGACCCAGGGTTGGTCGCCTTTCACACCTGTCAACAGCGCTTCTGTCGGTGTGGGCTGCAAGGCGTGGCCGAATATTTCATCGAGCGTCGCGTTCAGACCAGAATACGCGACGAGAGGTGAGCAAGCGTTGGATATCGCGACTACTACTGCGGGGAAGGCGACGAGGCCCACGAAGACGACAACGGCCTGAGAGTAAACAAGCTTCCGCCTGTCAGTACCTGAAGCATTTAACTTGTTTTCAGACTCCTCATCGACTGCGCCATCTTCAAGAGTAAGCTCCACGTATTTGGGGCCACCGACAGCACTATGAGTTCGAGGACCGAGATATTCCGCTACCAAGTGCGTTGGATTCCAGCTTGATAGATCAGTGCAGCTAGCAGTCGTACGCACAAAGCCGAAGGCAGCAGCGACAATCACCAACACAGTCGCAGCCTCGTAGCCTCTCTGGATTTCTTCGGTAGATATAGGGGCAGCGTTTAGGTGGTGTCTTTCTCTGAGCAATGCAGCCACGAGTTCATCCGTGAAGCGCATGTTGCGGTACGCCACTAGCATCAAGTCCGAGACGAACGGAGCCATCATGACGACAAACAGTAGCCACGAAACCACAAACGTCGCAGCATTTCCAGCAACGCCAGTCGATACGCCGCTGTCTTTAGTGCTCAACTGTCCAGTGACTCGGCGCTTCAACTCGTCAAATGCCCACAGCGTGGTGGCAAAGTAGGTCGTGCAGACAAAATCCTCCATGAGTCCGAGTCCCAGTGCTGAGGTCTTGAATCCCATCGTGTAGTCTTGTGGACTGCCGTACATCTCGACCAGAGCCCCAAGCGCCAAACATCGCGTCGTCGAGAAGCAGAGCAGCACGTAGGTGTAGACGAACAGCCACCCAAACCATGGAAGAGCAGACAGATGAGCTAGCCCCCAAAACTCCCGTGACTGGCTGCTTCGTCGAGTATTCTTAGACTCCGGTGCTCCGTTTGTGGTAAAGTTGTCCGCATCGACGTTGTGAGGCTCGGGAAAGCGACACCGCGTCGACTGTTGGCCTCTTAAACCAGCGAGCAAACTGAGGGATTCCATGAGGCCAAAAACGAGAAATGATGCGGAATCGCTGCAAACTCAGAAGTGAATGCACCATCCGTTGCGGTTAGGTGTCACCACCATGTTACATTCATTTACCAATAAATTTTATTATTTTTTAGCTGTACAAACATACCGGTATGCATGAAATTGCGGTACAGTACAGTATTACTGTTACAGTAGAAATTACCACCCCATCATGATAAGCTATCCCCGGCCGATACAACCACACGAATTTAGGGTTCATTGCATGAATGGACTCTGCTCCTTTCCACGTGTACGGATCACGGAGTTCGCTGAGCATTGAATTTCATGTATACATGAACAGTAAAAACCTGTCCTAAATCAACCATGAGAAACCTGATATCCTGTCGTACATGATATAGCTCAGGTCCACCGAGTCCGTTCCCAGAGATTACTACCGGTAGTACCTACTGTACATGTAGTAAGCTTGATATTGCTCAAATGAAACCTGATGCGAATTTTTGAGGACAGTTCATGTCAGCCAGCAGCCTTGAAACTGTTTGTATCATTCGTCGACTGCATCGATGTGTTCTCGACGCAGTCGAAGTCGGCAACCTAAAATAGGTTGTGCCAAAAACTGTAACTTGTCCGGACAAAATTTTAGTCTGGCACAATGGTCCTCCCTCGAAAACAAAACTCTATCGTGTTATAGCTTGCCTGAAAATGATTAATTTATTTTTCACAAGTATTTCTGACATGAAGTCAAAATTATTAATAATGCATAATAATATTATGACATAATATCATTAATTCCGGCAACACGTAGCCAACGCTTCTTCGCCTACATGATGAAGGTGAAGCAGCGTTGAATGACTTAGTTTAATAAATGATTTTTTTATCTATGAGTCCAGGAGAGACCTACATACCTAAATATATTTAAACAGTTTCAGTTTGATATGCCTGTGTGCCTCCACGTTAAACCTGGACACGTACAACGAAGTACATTTGCATATTATGCTTCTCTAAGCCGGCATGCTTCCTCGCCTTGTTCATAAGCATAATATTGGCGCCTCATACCGACCTTCTAACTCTAGCAATGACCTGTTTTCAGAAGACAACCTGAGTAACATGATATGCTGCTAAACAGTCACCCACGGGTCATATCAGGTGTTATGTTTTCGCGTTAGAGTTACAGTATCCATTCGCAGTTGGAGCTCAAACCGATATTGATTTATTTACATGCTAACCGAACACTGCTTGCCGCTCGGCGGCAAGCAGTGTTCGGTTAGCAAGAAATATAATATTATTATGTGTTGAATCGGCGGGGATTCAGCACATATTGATATTATATTTCTTATTTTAGAGCTGTTTCGTGTGGCTTCCATTTACTGCCGGTGAAAAAGCTTCACCTTAGCGAATTTTTATTATAGCCAATGCAACAAAGTATTTGTATCAAATGCTTGCCAGCTAACTTGCTGCACAGGGTAAGCTAAGAAAATAGACCGACGGGTGCTGGTGTGGAAAGAAAGCCGTCTTCACTAGAAGAGCCAGACAATGACACGACCTCGGACCACTGGAACTGGTAGGAAGAAGAGAACATTTATACGCATTTTAGTCGACTACAAGCACAAACTCGAAGTCCTCGAGCGTCTTGCTCAGGGACCCAAGGTCGGCCCGGTTATCAAGCGTTTTGCCCTGTAATCATCGACGCCGAAAGCAAAAGAAAGCAGAAGTAGTATTCATAATGGAAGAAGCAGGCAGGCTTCATTAAGGCGGTCTGCGAGGAAGGCAAATGGCACCTCAACAACCATCGTAGGGCTGGCGCGGCAGCCATCCTCTCCACCGAAGCAGAAGAGGACATCGTGCTGTAGATGAACTCTATGAGAAAGGAAGGCTGTCCAGTATCAGCAAAAATGCAGGAGCTAAAGGCACTCGAGGTAAGAAGGGATCTTGCCTGACGTCTTCAGCGCATCATACTCTTGGAGACGGCGCTATATTTTTTGCGCCCACACAAGATGTCGATACGTGCACGGACTTGCCAAGGTCAAACCACACCAGAAGACGCGGCATCAGCAAAGGCCAAGTTTCGAGGTGATGTCAGAGCGGCTATCGTCGAGAACAATATCTGCAACGTCTTTAACGCGGACCAGACAGGTATATACTCACCGAGCGCTAAGATGATTGTACACGCCGCTTTTCTCTGACGTGACTGTATTCAAAGCCGTCTTCTTCGAGTATCTACCATCACAGCGAGAGGTGAGAAAACAGTATGGGTGAAGTGCAGCGGTGAAGACAAAGAGCAAGCGACGGCAATTCTTCTAGCAGACTGGCATGGCAACAAGATGACGCCTTTTCTTGTATTTAAAACTGGTGTCTGTCGTCATCTACATATTGTGCTGTTGACATTCCACGTGAGCTCTAGCTACAAATGTACTCCTACAACAATACGCCTGCTAGGATAGCAAACGATCGTTCGGGCGGACCTGAAGACCCCAGTTCTGCCCTTGCACCGGGATAAACTAGACCTTGTAAACAGCTAATATAGGCCAACCAATACAAATAAGAACACGATACTGGCACAAGCAAAGCCAGCAGGTGCTTTTAGTTCTCGTGGTCCTAACAGCGAAATGGTACCAACACAGGTAAGCCTTTTACGATGGCACCGAGTGTTCAACACTAGGTTGGAAGAATAATAGGGATGCAATACAAGCACTCCCAGTCGTGCAAATAGGCAACAATAAGCTGTCACGTAACCCCCCCCTGTCCGATAGTAATCGGCCAATACACACACAGTCTCTTGGGCTTGCCGGGTGAACCCTCGCTACAAAGCCTCAAGTCCACCCATATGCATAACACACCTAAACAATCTTGACCAGGCGCTTCTCTTGAAGCCGGACGTCACTCTGTGTGCTTGAGTGGAAATTCTGTTCTGTATTTGTGTTTGCCCTTTCGGGCCTATTCCTAATAAGAAGTCCTAATTGTGTAAACAAATATCAATGCACTATGATCCGTTATGAATCTTATTGCACGTCAAGTGTCATTTACACCGTCGCATGCGCCTCGTCAACAGCTCTCGCTCTTTCCTAGACGGTGACAGTGTCTTCAAAGAGTCGCAGAGCCTTCCGCAAACTCACTTGAACCGCCGCCGAGGGTTCGTAGCGTAGATGGCCAGTTCTTGGACGCGAATGCGAATCCAACCAGTCCCTTATTAATAATAAGATCAGCCTGGATTGAGTGCCATCTGGACCGTATCTGATGTGTACGAGCTTCATGTAAAAGGTAAAAAATACTTTCCAGCCTAAACGCATTAATTGATCATAACGTGAGTGTTCGGTAGTGACATCGTCGAGTCTCTTGTACCTTGAAGTCATCGTACATCATGTGATCGAGTGCTCATCGCTTGAGCATCTTGACGATGCCGAATCTTTGATGACGGATAGCTATCAGCATCTCTGGAGAAATCTGTACACCACGTCTGCCCCTGTCACAATAGAAGCCACCGTACTGGTGCCCGTTGTGACATCTCTTCATTCTCCGAATCACGACCAAGTGTCAAGATGACGAAGCGCCTCAATGGTGCCAAGTAAGCACATCTTCCTCATGAATCATCGGCACCTGCTCATCACCACATACCCCTGTCTTGTTTCAAATGAGGGTGGCACCGAGGATTCGAGCAACCCACAGTCTGCTACACACACTTCGACAGCACCTTCGTCGGCTGGGCACCCGGCTTCTCCAGCTCCAACGTCTTCAGCCCTGTTGAAGCTCCGGCAGCACCCCCAGTCGCCACTGAAATCACATTTATGGTTCCTCCAGCTCCGCCTGCGCCTGCTAATGATTCTCCAGCAATCGCTGAGGATTCGTTGCGCGCTATACTTGCTGAGAGCGCGGAAGCATCGGTCGATCACATGGTGACGTCGGTCATCCCGTACTTGACTACGACAACTCATCATCAAGCCCAGCTCAACGACGCGCCTCCTCTTCACGGCGATGTCCGTACTCAGCGTCGTATTGAGACCGCGATGGGCTTCGAAGATGTTCCCGCGGCTGCACATCCTCTTCCCGATGCTCTAACAGACCTTCCCGACCGAGTCGTCAGTCTGGAGCGTCAGCTGTGGCCTGCTCAATCCGAGGCCACTGCCGCCGCACGTTCAGTTGCTCCCGAAATCATATCCCGTGAAAGACGCGGAGGCATTCTTGAATGCTGCCAACGCCGAGGTTGAAGCTTTTCGTACAGATGTCAAGATACCCCGCGAGTATAACGCGAAGAACGACACTATGCTCTTAAGTACTCAGTCCTCGATGGGACAGCACTCGGAGCGGCTGAGGCGTCTGCACCTCGAAATACAAGGGCGTGATGCCTTCATCTCCACTTTGAGCAAGAAGATTGCAAGGGAGCGCGAGGTGCACAAGTCTGCAATTGGTGCGAGCTTCGAACATACTCGCCAGCTCTATCTTCTCTTGGCCAAGCTTGCAAAGACAAGTACGTTAATGCCGATACGCTCAAAGTGCTCGTGAATCCGCAAACCCGCAACACGCACCTTCTTCAAGTCAACAGTACTCTCCGTGCATACGTAAAGCTGGTATGGATGGACCCGGCAGTCCTGACTGGCTGGCTGTTGATGGTACGCTCCTTCTGTTACTACTTCCACCGTGTGCTCAGCAACTAGCGTTCGGTAGCGATGTCTTGTGACAGGTTTCACCGCGGGTGAGCTGGATCTGGATGCTCTGGACCTAGATTAAGAGACTTTGGTTGCTCTGCAGCGCATACAGTCTGCTGCCGCGTCTTCGCCTGACCCTCAGGCTCTTCTTGCAGCGTTAGCGCAAGCTGCTCACCAGGTGGATCATGGCAAGCTCCTTCCTCAAGCGATTCCGACCAGGTGGCAAAGAGTCGGACGACGCGTCAGAACTCTGATGAGGACAAAGCCCCATCCCGACCGACAACCCCAATACATCCTTGGCAGCTGCTGGTCTTGGCGATGCAACACCTGCCGAGCCTTCAGATACCAAGCCTTTGCGTAGGTCACTCGTCAGTT